TATTTGATACAATATGCTTCCAAAGCCTCAGGATGGTCGGGGGTGGGTGCCTTGCGCTGCGGGTTGGCCACCCCTCCGCACACCTCTTGAAATGCTCCCATATGACCGGGCGTCTTACATAGCCTCTCCTGAGGAAGTCCTACTCACTGCCTTCACATGGCGGAGGTGTTTTTCACCAAAGTGAGAGGGCGAAAGCGGATGCCCGGCGCTCTTCACCGGGTTGACTATCCATTGGATGACAGTCTAGGGGAGATGGCTAAACCCTGATTCCAAACCTCCAACGACTGGCGTATGAAGGTCACTGGAGCTCACCGGCAGGCGTATGGATAAAGGGCTTGTTGGATGTCCTGGATGTCCGGCCCCATTCAAAAAGGCGTATGAACCGAACTCCGGTCACCGGCTGCCAATGGGTAGTGGACTCTCTACTCCACTCCTACTGCCTTGTAGGTGACACTTGGTTGTGTAAAGGCTAGAGCTGCACTCTCAAACAAAAGGCCGAGCGATTCTGGGGACATCACTCGTACCAAATTTCCATGAAACTTCATGAACTCTTCATCAGATCGCCGCGCCTGAGCAGCGATGATTCGAGATGTTCCTGAAGCCGGCTCATCCTCCCGTAGGAGATAGCCGAAGTAAAGTAAGTAAGTAATACAATATTAATAACTGTATGATCTTGTAGACGCATCGTGTTATGTTATCTCAGCTTGTACGAGACTAACTACCTTAACTACAAACTGACAGCTGTTGTGTTTGAATGTTGTGACTTAATATTTATCAGTAGCATTGGTGCATGCGTCCCTGTACTTATCAGCAATCTTACTATTTTAGGCTACCTAATGTTTTCCAGCTCCTGAACAGTTCTTACTTCGACACTATCATTGTTTTAAAGTTGTTGCTTTTTCTGCACATATTTGCTTTTAGTGTGTTATTATTCTCATTACTTCTGTGGTTTATTTTTGTTTTGATTTTTCGAATAATTTGACCCCATCTAAGGAGCTTAGAATAATAATGAAACGCTTGATAGTTGTTTAATACCTCTGTTATATCCTACCTATTAAAACTCATCTCCTTGTTCTGTAAAGTCCATGATTATCATCTGATTGCCAGGAATAATGAAATTAAATCCATCAGTTACTGTATTTTTATATTTTTAATTGTAATCTACACTATGTCTATCATACTGATATTTTTGATCCGCCTTTCAGATGGGAAATAAGGCTAGTTGTGGTTCAAAATGATGGAATTAATATTATAGAAGGAAATTTTGTACCGATTAAAGGCTTTGCTGAGTGCATTATCTAACATCTAGTTCCAGGTAAGTTTTGTATTTCTGTAAATACTATAGAAACAGAGGGGAAAAAACCTTTTAAATTTTCTATGTAGAGTATACGCCACATGACACTAATGTGCTACAGTAAAAGTGTTTGTTCTTTCGGGTTCTTTTCTGAAATTGACACTATTACATTAGCTTAGCAAAATATTTTTAAAGAACAAGGAAATCGTCTCTTAATATATCTTTTTTTTCTGGACACCACAGTTATGACCATTTCTGTCTTATTAGACAGTCTGTGAAACGATACTGTCAAGTGATTCAGTGTCGTTAAAACCTCTGTCTTTGTTACTCCCTATAGTAATAATAATAATAGTAGAAATAAAGATTTTGTTAAGGAGATAAGATACACACTTATATTTAATATCACATGGAGATTTGATTACTCTCTATTAGGTTAGACTACTTACAAAGACTATAAGGAAAATGAAGTGTTCGTTATGTTATACTGGGTTTTGTAGTTCAAACATCTATGTTCTGTCTGTCTGTCTGTCTGTTTTTGACACAGAACTTTGCACCGATGTGCAGCAGTTCAAGTCGCCACACTCCATGTAGCACACAAAGCAAGAGAAGAAAGTAGAAGAAATGCATAATATAGACAGTAAACAGAGGTGTGAGACAAAGGAATAGTAATAATGAAGAATGATATAGTTTCATTGGTAATCCAAAAGCACACGAATCCTTCCTAAGCATCATTCTCCTCCACACTTCCAAAAACATCTATGTTACAGTAGACTGGCGCTTACTCCTAATAGGAAAATTGAACTCATTTTGTGTCAAGCATATCAATACTAACAGTTTCCTTCCTCTCCCTACGTATCTCAAACCAGCAGTCAACGACTTGATGGATTGGTTACAGGATTTTATCATGAGCTGACATCACTTAGAGAACCATTGGAAAACCAGCCAGGTAGTACTGGACAGCTGTTTCGTCCTAGTTTGGGACTCTTAATCAGTATGCACCCACCGCCACGGTTCGAACCCAGAACCTTCTGGTTACAAGGCCAGCGAACTCGTAGACCATTAAGCCACTGGGACCCGATCCATTGGCCCACAAAACAGCTGTCCAGTACTCCCAGGTTTCCCAATGGTTCTCTAACCAATGTCAGCTCATGATGAAATCCTGTTACCAATCGATCAAATCCCCACAAACCAATACTTGAATACTTGATGGATTGTTGTCAGCTCTTGATTTGACTACACTTAACATAATATCGGATAATATCCTTCGTCAAGGAATCCAGTGGCTCAACATGCATTGTAACTCATATCGTAGTTATCCCACTAGATGTCAACACGCTCTACCACTTCACTCCTGCTTATCTGTTAGCTAGGAGTCAGTTTAATCCAGTTCTGTAGCATCACCTTACATTTGACGGGATTGAATTGCATGTCAAATATTCGAAGATTGCTGCTCAAGGTGTTCAGAAGACTCTGCACTTTCTTAGCATCTTTACATAGAAATACTCTGACAGAATGAGCAGCAATCTTCGAATACTTGGCATGCGATTCGATTCCCTCAAATGTAAGGTGAAGCTACAGGACTGGACTACGTTGACTCCTAGGTTAAGGACAGGTAGTGAGTTGGCAGAGCGTGTTGACCACTTCACTTATTTGGAAATTTGCATCAGCCAGCCTCAACGAGAGTTGACCGCCGACGAGATCTCATCAGGGATACAGAAGGCTCGTTTAGCATATGTCAACTTACACCATCTCTGTCGTAGACGGGATATCCGGGTGGCTGTCGACCAAAGGACGTGTGTACTGCTCATTAGTTTCGCTGCGTCCTCCTTTACGCCTGTTAGACATGGCCATGGAGAGTGAAAGACATGAGAAGGTCGGCTAGCTATCTTTGATCATAGGCACCTGCTGTTTATCTTTCGTGTTAATTGGTATGATAAGGTGAGAAATATTGAGGTGAGGCGTCGGTCGAGTGCTAGGTAAGTGGGAGGGGAAATCAGCCGATGAGAATGTGAGACTACATCGCTTGAGATGGTTAGGACATGGGTTACTCCGCATCCCTAGTCATTGCCTTCCTCGACAACAGACATTGTTAGCTGGCTGACACAGGATGGATCAGGTTGGAAAAGAGAAAGCTAGTGGTGGTGGTCAAACCAAAACATGGCTTCATCAGTCAATGAAAGTCACAACAGTTAGTTTAAGCCAGACAGCTAGTCAATTAAGGAGGTGTAGACTTCCTGATTGACTGGTCGAGGTCCTCGGGATAGATGGTAAGAACCAACGACGACTGGAGGCAATTGGTGATGGTATAGATGGCTAAATATCCTCGTTGTCAATAGCTGGTGGAGATGCATTCACTCTGTTATTTATCATATCCAATAGAGCTCTATTGTTCTTCCATATTACTATTCTCTATCCCTCGTTCACACTTCTGTTTATTATCTGTCTCCCTGTGTTAAACCTCACCTTACTCTTATCTCTTGCTTTGTGTGGTACTTGGAGGGGGAATGGCAAGTTGAACTGGTGCACTTCTGTGCAGAGTTCTATGTCGACAACCAGTCAGTCAGTCAGTCAACTCGTGACCAAACCCGTAATCAATCAAATCCCCTGTGCAAACCAACACTGAATAAAATCAATACACGTATATCTTCTTAATTATCCAATTGGATAATAAAAAGACAGTTGCATTGAAGTCACCGTCAGCTAGACTGTTCATTCGTGTATTTCTTATAATAAATGGGTGGGAAAGTTTCAGAATAATTTCCTACCATAATAAACAGGGGGACGGATAAAACTCAAGCAAAGTAGCATCATAATTACTGAGAAGATTGACATATTGTGCAATTAGGGGTTAGAAATGTAGAAATAACAAAATAGACAGGATGTTTGGATACAAAATTTAGTGGGATCATAACTAATGTGACAAATAATTGTTTATGCAATTAGGGATTAAATATGTAGAAATAGTAAAATGACAAAATAGACAGGAATTTCGGATATGAAAGTATAGTAGTGTATATAGTGGAGGGATTAAGAAAAACTTAAAAATAGCATGAATAAACGGGAAGTTTGGATAAGAAAGGCGATAAGATAGACACTACTAAAAGAATTATCTGTTTATGATAACCATGGCAGGGACAAGTGTTGGACGTATTTCTTTTGAATACATAGCGTGGGTTTGAGCTTTTGGATGGCTAGTGCCTCGGTTATGCCCAGATTTCTAAATTTTACTCTCTTTAGTAGGTTTGATGGAATCTTGTATATGATTTTGAAGGATTTTTCGAATGAAGCTGAATGTCCTGATTTGACCAGATGTTCTCTCACTGAACAGTATACACGTTTCTGTTCTCCTGTTACTAGGCAGGCTGGATAGTGTTCACGAGCGCGTTTTTCAAGTTGGCGGATGGTACGGCCGATGTACTCAGCTCCGTAAGAGCAAGTAAACTGGTATATATGCACGTTGAAGTGGCGAAATGCGACAGCATGTCTTTCGCGTTCTCGCTGAACAGTTTCTTGCAGGAAAACGTCAGCTTTAGGCTTGTGGCGCGGCCTTTACGAAAGATTTCTGCTTCAATGTCACCTTTGAATTCTAGATTAAGCAGAATTATCTTCTTTGGGATGGATTGGATAACATTATTTCATGTATAAGAACTTTGTTATTCCCTTTTTCCATATCTTTTCTTTTTTTTCTTTGCTATAGGAGTTGGAAATGAAATTGTATATAATCTTAATTACAGTATTTCTAAAACTATTACTCATTCATACAATCTCTACTGAGCCTATTATTTATGGGGCACTTCCAGATACATATGAATCAATAACAGATCATATCATTGTCTTACAATCTAATAAACCTATACATTTAACTATATTTGGTTTACAAATAGATTATATTAGTCATATATCATTTGCATCAATTAGAAAGCCTCCAAATTCACCATGTGAACATGAACGTGTTACTAGTTCATTTAATACACTTCCCGAGAGTTCATTTGTCACTTCAAGTCTTATAAGTTTACGTGAATTATCCAGTAATGAAGCTGCTTTTTATCTATGCATTCGTATTATTCCTGTACAAATTATTCCACATATTGATTCATCAGAAAATACCGCATCACCATCACAACAACAACAGCAACTACGGAATTATTCTGATATTGACGGTAAATGGATCTATGCTAATGGTACTACACCGGAGTATCGTTTATCCTTTCGGACAACAAGTGCTCTTATGCCATTATGGGTACAAATTATTTTAATTATTTTATTATTTTTTCTATCTGGTTTATTTAGTGGTCTTAATTTAGGCCTTATGTCACTTGATAAAACTGAATTAAAAATTATTGAAAGTGCTGGTTCACATAAGGAAAAAGGTTATGCTAAAGCTATACGTCCTGTACGTGAAAAAGGCAATCTGTTATTATGTACACTTCTGCTGGGTAATGTACTTGTCAATACATCATTAACTATACTTATGGATGATTTAACTGGGAGTGGTTTATTCGCTGTTATCGCCTCTACTATTGGTATTACACTATTTGGTGAAATTATGCCACAAGCTGTATGCTCAAGGCATGGATTAGCTATCGGTGCAAAAACTTTATGGTTGACAAAAACATTTATGCTGCTCACCTTTCCAATTGCATTTCCTGTTAGTTATATATTGGATAAAATACTTGGTGAAGAAATTGGTCAAGTGTATAGTAGAGAAAAGCTTGGAGTACTTATACGTGAACAAGTAAGTCAAGTTGTTGAGGGTTACTTTTTATTTTATTTTTTTGTATTTTTAATTAATCATTATTCTTCCGTTTATCACCATGCCTTTTTATTGGCTTCATAAATGACCTTGTACGGCTTAGTAGTGGTGTTATGGGAACTGTGGTCTTCTTCTTGAGATGATCTCAAATTGCCGCATAACTCCTGTTTACCGCCTACTGCCTGAGGTGTCCCATGCAAAAGTGGAAGGAGCAACGGGACTGATAGACATGCAGATGTTTACCTACCTACCTAGGGAGAGTGGCTGGAAAACCGTGATTCCAAACATGTGATCTACATTGGCTCCAGAGTCCGAGCGAGTCGAATGGTGTATAAACATGGTTTGGTCACCTGAAACCATGGGAGTGTAGCTTACGACGCACTGTTCCACCGTCTTGTGAATCAGACTTTAAGTTAAAGGCTCCGGAGGGGGGCAGGTAGACCCCTTAAGACAACCACCCGTTTCGATGTAGACATCCTAACAGCATTCCAGCCGTCGCACAAATTACGAGGTTTTGTGTGGCGCAATTTTTAGTTGTCCATAATACATCAAGCTTGTTTTTTGATTGGACACTAGTAACTAGTGTGATGTGCCTAGTCCTTTCTTTGGTGCATACTGAATTCTATCAGTCAGGTGGTCAATCGCGAGCCCGAATAGCTCAGTGGTAACGTCTCTGGCTGCAGCACTCACTAGGTGACACCGGTTGAAATCACAGAAGGGACGTGAGTTCCTTCAAGGTTGCAGATAGACCTTGCTGACTGGTGAGTGCCAACTAGCACGAAACCTAGGTGGTGCAAAGCTTCCTGTGGCCGATTGCCTCCAACCATCTAATATCATCACATCAAGTTTGTGTTTTAATGTATAATAAAGTAATGTCTTTTAACTTATAAGTTTAAAATCTTAGTCAACTTTCACTCAATAAGTCTAAATCATAATGTGAGTGCTGTTTTGAAGAAAGTCGTACACCTGCTCATTTTACTTCAAGCTTTCAACGTAAGGTAATATGAGCTTAATGAATCACTTTGAATTTTATGGGGTCTGTTTTGTCTGAATAAACGTGAGTTATTATTATTGGCATAATACGTTTGCAACATAGTTTGTCTGTCTGTTTTCGACATAGAACTTTGCACCGATGTGCGCCAGTTCAAGTCGCCACACTCCATGTAGCACACAAAGCAAGAGAAGAAAGTAGAAGGAGAAATGCATATTAGAGACAGTGAACAGAGGTGTGAGATAAAGGAATAGTAATAACGAAGAACAAAACAGTCTCATTAGAAATCATAAGTCACAAGGGGTGGATGCATCTGCGCCACTGAGAACAATTTTGAGCCATATCACTAATTGTTTCCAACCATTGATTTTTACCGTCCCGAGGACCCCAACTAGTCAGGAAGTCAACACCTTCCTACTTGGTTGATTGGCTTAAACTAACTGTTGTAGATTTCATTGACTGGTGCCATGTTTTGGTTTGACCACCGCTAGCTCTTTTCCAGCCTGACCCTATGTCAGCTAACATTGCCCATCGAGGAAGGCGATGACTAGGCATACGTAACACATGACTTAATCACATCTCAGTCGATGTAATTTCACAGCCTCGCCGATTGATTTCCCCTCCTTACCTAAAACTCGACGCCTTACCTCAATATTGCTCACCTTATTATATCACTTAACACAGGAGATAGAGCGCAGGCATCTACGATCGAAGACAGCTAATCTTTTCATGTCTTCCACTCTCAATGGCTAGGTCTCACAGCTAGCCATAGAGGAGGATGGAGCGGACTGATGAGCAGTACACCCGCCCTTTGGTCGATAGACAGTCGGATATCACATCTACGCCAGAGACGGCGTAAACTGGCATATGCGAAATTAGCCCTCTGTATCCGTGCTGAGATTTCGTCAGAGATCAACCCGTTGGGACTGATGGTACTTTCCAAGTAAGTGAACCGGTCAACGTGCTCTACCACTTCACTCCCTATTTCTAAACTAGGAGCCAGTATTGCCCAGTCCTGTAACATCATCTTACATTTGGCGGGAGCGGGTGAATCGCATGCTAAACATTCGTAGATTGCAGCTCAAGATGTTCAGAAGACTCTCATGCATTTTTTCAGCGTCCTCGTCTAGAAGGACTGTATCGTCTGCATATTCTAAGTCAGCGAGATTATTCCCTGGTAGCAAGTCAATCCCTGAGTCGCTGAAGTGAGTCAGGGTGAAGTCCATTAGTACATCTATGATGAAGTTGAATAGAAATGGGGATAATGGGCATCCCTGACGGACGCCACTAGTCGTCACCACTTCAGATAACAAATCGCCGTAACACAGTTGTCTTGTTCTAGTTTGCGATTCTTCAAAATAGCCCTACCAAGGATCTTCAGGTCATGAAGGACTCCCAATTAACCATATAGTCAGTGGGAGAGTGATTCATAAATTTTTATTTTTTTATATTTTGATTACAGCTTGATTCCACACCGTATTTTCAGTACAAGTATGGAATTTTCAGCATGGATGTCGGTAGCCCAAATTTACAGGCCGACCATAGATATCGGGTGTACGCCGGCAGGGGATCGAACCCCGGACCATGTGCATAGTGGACGAGAGTCCTAACCACTGTGCCACCGACGCACAGGTTTTACCCATTCGCCATATATATAGAGTCGACGCCAACCGATTTTATCTGTGAATATTTGTATGAATGTGTGTATGAATACTCTCTTGAACTACAGAAACTCCATGAAATTAGTCACTAGTGTGCATTAAATAGGGAGTCTCAAACTAGGATGAAACAACAGTCCAGTTCTCCCTGGTTTTCAATTCTTCTCTAACTGATGTCAATTCGTGGTCTAACTTGAATTCAAACAAAGTGGGAAGGTTGAGCAGGAGGCTGGCACCTCCACCCGGTAGAAATAAAACACCACTGCTACTGAAACTTCAAAGCTCTAGCTTGAAGCTCTATGTTCCATTGGGAAAAACTTTCTGTACTGAAGCGTATGGACAGCTCTTTCCGAGATATTTCAAATCAGTCTCTATATACATGACATTATTTGACATCTTTACCCTAATGTGTAAAACTACTATTTATACTGAATGACGTTTCGAAGGCGATTTATTATTCATAATCATGTCGTCAATTGTAACTACACAACTTAGAAACTCCAGTTTTACAGTCCTCATGTTTTTTCCGCCTGTTGTCGTGTAAGAATAAGAGTTGTACAATTTTCCAGTTATCCGAGACAGATGTTGTATCATTCTTTTCTCATGCATTCTCAGCTGATTCGATAAACAGACTTTCAGTTATCAATTCCTCCCCCGTCCCCGCACGCTTAGATTTGAAGACTGTCACTGTGTCTCATCCTGTTGTATGGTTGTGTATATTTGACCTTACAATCAAAGCAGGGGGATTAGGTAAACTGAATTATTTTGTTTAATCAGCTCCATAGGATCCATTAACCAACATAATTTACTTTGCACATATACCATAATCATGCATCCTTGACACTACACTACACTAAACTACTCACTGATTAGTGTCCAATCAAACTATCCAATACAGTCCTACAGGAGGTCAGTCGCGAGCCAGCCCGAATAGCTCAGTGGTAACGTCTCTGACTGCACCACTCACTGGGTGACTCGGGTTCGAATCTCAGAAGGGACATGAGTTCCTTCAAGGTTGCAGATACGCCTTGCTGACTGGTGAGTGCCAACTAGCATGAAACCTAGGTCCCAGAAAGGCTTCCTGTTTCCGATCGCCTCCAACCAGCTAATACCAACAATTCAAAGTGCACTGTGATGGTGAGCCACCTAGAATGGTGGCCACATTACGACCTGACTGATAGAATTCATTCTTCACCAAACAAAGGACTAGACACACTACACTACTCACTGACTAGTGTTCAATCAAAGTATTCTTGACAGTATACGTATTAACTAATTTATAAAAGTCTGAAACATGTTTTTATACTACTAATAAAGTTCCAGTGGGAATTCATGGCCAGTGTGGGGTGCACTAAGTTACCTGTGAGGACAAATACTTACCAGCGATGACACTGGCTGGCAGTCGTGCTAAATCACTAGTTGGCAGGAGTTAAAATTGACAAGCTGACTGACTGGTTTGAGCATAGAACTTCTCAGAGGAGTGCGGCAATCTGAGTTACTACACTCCATGTGGTGCACAAGGGAAGACAGAAGAGGGGAATGCATTTGCGCCACTGTGAACAATTTCTAGCCATACCACCAATTGTCTCCTGCCTTCATTGGCTCTTACCATCAAGAGGACCCCAACCAGTCAGTCAGGAAGTCTACACCTCCCTACGTAGCTGGTTGGCTCAAACTAACTGTCAAATAAAACTGACGGGCCATTGAATTGTGTCCCAATGGCTGAATAGTCTACTAGCTAACCTTGTAACATGAAGGTCTTGGATTCGATCCCCGGTTGTGGCATCGGTGCATACTACTACTATTATTGTTATTATTATTCCCTTGAGTTCCGAGTGGAATATAGGGCTTCAACAACACATCTCCACTTTTTCTATTTTCTGCCGTCCTCTTCAGCTGAGTCCAAGATTACCCATAATCTCTCATCTCCTCCTCTTCGCCACACGATCTCCTCCATGTCACCCTTGCACCGACGACCCAATTGTCACCTCCCATTGGGATTCCACTGGAGTGATGTCCTGCATTTTGCGCGATGTCATTCGACAGTCTTTTCAATGTATGCCCAATCCATCTCCATTTTCTCCCACATATTCGTTGAGCGATCGGCTCTTGGTTGGTTTGTTCCCAGCCAGAGTTTCTTGTTACTAATTCTTTCCATCCGGCTAGCCATTTGATCTTCAGTATGGAGGCAGTCAGCGAAGGAAGCTTTCGATAAAAGTGTGCATCAGCCTGCCTCCTTTTCGTGACTGATGCGCAGTGCAAGTTTCTGACCCGCATAGAAGGATCGACTTGACATTGATGTATGCCTTCGGTGCATACTACTGAAGAGTCCT